GGTTGTTATCAATGCTGTTCAATTTTTTTCTTTCCTTGCAAATAAATTGTATATATTTTCTCTGCTCTGCTTGCTTAACAGGGTTGACCGGCAAAATATATTTCGCAATCCCTCGTTGTTTTCACCTTCAAAGAGCTTACCTGCCTACCTTGGTGAATTTCGTTGTACAGGGGAGAGCGAGGTAATTGGCACAAGCGAGGAATATTGGCCATCCATGTTTTTCGCTTGCCACTGAGATACAGGCACGCATACCAAATGATTGGCTTCTTATTAAGTGAACCCGCAGGAATGTAGTAGTGGCTCACTTGGAAAATAGGACAGCTTGCGTATTAATTACAAAAGTCGGGTTTAATCTTTTCATTTACACCACAAAGGAGTAAAATAACATTCTAGATGTACTTTCGATAAGCCTGCTTTTCTACTTGCATTTTTCTCGGAAAATTAAACAGGTTTTGAGCAATGCGTGCCACCCACGAAGCGAATGTAACGGGTAGAAAGCATGTTTGATTAACGGTATTAGCGCAGGCTGTGTGTCTGAGTAGCAGATGATGCTATTATGTGCACTAGACATTTTGCTAATCTACACAAGCACCAAAGATCATGCCGGGTTTGCAGGTACACTCGCTGCGCAAGGTATCGTCCACACTCGTGTGTACCTACATTCCAAGCCACTTCCTTGACGCTTGGGGTAAATTTGAAAAATGTCTGTAGGTGTTCTTTCAAGCTATTTTATGTGACAGGCATCCCTGCAGCTTGCCTCCAAGAACGAATTTTGAAGTATTGAACTAGAGAGTTAATAATATTCAGATTAACATAAACTGCTTCACAGATTATGTTTTTTTTTTTTTTCTAACGATGTAGTAGAATTGCATAAGCAGAGATTGCTCTTCGAAAATGTAGTTCATATTAACAGAATGTGTATATTATCAAAACATGAGTGGACACGTGTGCCTTCAGATGCACAAAGGTCGGGGGCGTTTTATTTCTGCTGAAATTTACATTCATACTCATACACAATCTGCATAACACAAGCCCTGAATTGGGCACTGGTGACCTCGTCCCAACGATCTAGAGATTGTGCTACAGAGTAGGCAAACGCCTCGTTCTGTGTCGTTTTAGTCCTTAAATTATTTAGAAGTTCTCTCTCCATTGCGTCAACCTCCCTTCTACGTGCAGAATGGGGGGGTCCTGGGCACCTTTGTGACTGGCCAGATGACCTCCTCGAGGTGCTTGATGTTGATACAACCGAGGTGGACGGCGTGGCTGGGACAGGAGCCTCGGGGCTGCACTGCAGCTCTTCTTGGGCAGGCTCGAAGTCAGTGGGAATGGTCGAGTCGTCAGGAGAAGATTCCACCATTTCCATTAATAGACACTGTGCTGTGTCGCCTACAGGTGGTGCCTTTACGTTGGTGGTTGCCCTGCAAATGGGATTAACATATGGGAGAGAAATTTAGTTAGACAGCAAATAAGGACTCATGTTTTGTTTACATTCTTCCTGGGTCGGATATGTTTCTCGTAAAACGACATCATTTCCAGGAAGGCCCATTGTTTTTTCCGGACGAAGCCACTGCCACTCCTTGTGGCAGCTTCAATGGCGCGGACCTCCCGAACATACCTGTCGCGTACACGCTTCCACGCTTTTTGTGCGTCACCTGAAATAAATATGTCAAATTCAGTTCTGCCAAATGCAGACGTGATACAAAAATAAAATGCTGAACAAGTTGCCATGTCAGGTAAGCCGCTTGCACTGCTTTTCTGTTTGAAGTCCTAAATAACTAGAGCGCCTCAATGTCTTTCTGTTTGGATGATGCCATCGTTTGTAGTACCCGATGGCGACAGCACGCGCTCACAGGGAAAATACAAAGAAATCGCAGGAAGCAAATAGTCGCCGTAGCTACACCGTGGCCGTAGCACAGTCAGCGCCACGCGCGCGTGCAGGGACACGCTCTTTCACGCGCTTCAACACACACACACACACAAAAGAAAAAAAAGCGTTCGAAACAAAATGGCCAGATATCGTCACGCCAAGCAAAGCGGACATGAAATCACCCTAGTCAACTTACCGGACTTCATGCCGCAGGCAATGCGCACGGACTCCCAGGCATTCTTTTTTCGCTTGGAATCCCTGTACTCAAGAGAACCGACGTCATAAAGACACTCGCGCTTTCTCACCGCTTCAATGAGCCGCGCAACCTCGTCCGTCGTCAGATCGCTCGGTTCGCACTCCGCGGCACCTCCGTTCGCCATTTTTTTTTCCAACTGACGCTCGCGCGAGGAATTCTGGGTGACGACCGTCGTCGGCCGACGCCGAGATTCGAGCAGCGCCTACCTCGACGTGAGCTACGCCGGCGCGCGCCGAGGCGCGTTACGTTGCGAAGCGTTCTACTTGTGTTCGGAGTATAAACTCTCCTTTCGCAGCTACGTCACGCAACGCGCTCGGGAGCGCGCGCCCGTCGACGTTACGTTGGAGTATAAACAGCCCGCCTCGACGTGAGCTTCGCTGGCGCGCGCCGGGGCGCGTTACGTTGCGAGGCGTTCCACCTGTCGTCAGAGTATAAACTGTCCTTTCGAAGCAACGTCAGGCAACGCGGTTGGGCGCGCGCGCCCGTCGACGTTACGTTGGAGTATAAACAGCCCTTTAATCTAACCTACTCCAACGTTGTTGTTTGAATTTATAGAGAGTATTCACTGGCGGCCACAGCTGTGTGCGCGAATGCTGAGCGCGTGCTGATGGCGAGCTTCCACAGTTCTTTTGCAACGTGCATTCCGCACCATCAAGAGTGCCGATAAGCTTAGCAGCCTATTAATGTGAGCTCGTTCTGAGCATGTGCTCTATACAGCACCCACAAATATGGCGTCCAGTGAATACTTCCTATTAGCGGCGAGATGTTTCGGTGGTGCCCTCCTATGGTTCCCCCTTGTGACGTCATTACCTTGCGAACAACAAGTTCGATGGTGTTTGTAAATAGCATGGTGGAAGCCTGAAATGATTGCGCTCTCAAAGCAACACTGCAACACCGTCGAGATTAAAGTTCTTTCATTCCTCTTATTTCCGTCGATGGTAAACCCTTTCCGACGTCATAGTCAGCTTTTGGGCCAATCGTGGAAGGCCGACCACAGCGACGCTTTCGGTCGCGCACGTCGCCAATAGGCCCCATGAAGACGATTCGGAAGTACAATTTAACGATTAAAATAGATGCCATATCCATCTCAGGTAATGTTGATGAACGTTTAGCCCTAATTTGCGCTTGCACGCCGCACAAACTAATTTATTAGGTCCAGCAAATAATCACACCACGACTGATGATCACGATGGCCGAGACTGTGAAAAAAACCCAGCCCTTGTGCTACGTGGCCCGAGACATCAGCTGAGGCTCGTCAGACTGTCGGTCGAAGTGAAGGGAGCCCGCTCGTCTTCGTTTTCAATCGTAAATTGCAAAAAAAAAAAAAAAAAAAAAAAAACTCCGTTCTGTTTAATTCTATAGCAACGAAAACAATATATTTTGGGCTCAAACGTTTACTACAATTGAAAGGAAATACAATTTTATTTTCGGAACGCGTGGATAGAAATATACGAGGGGCTTCCACTCGTGAATATGTAACGGCGACTGCCTTAAAACAAAACAAAAAAAGAAAAACGCCTAGTGTGGTAGCAACATATTATTTCATCCCCCCACCTCAAAAAAAAAATAAAAAAATGGCGCATAATTTTTGTTTTGTTTGTGTTGTCGCGTGGTTTCTGGTTTCATGCGTGAAGAAAGTTGCAGAAGCCTTTGGAGGCGGACCGGCTGCATATTCCGGTCATTCTTCACGTAGATGTCTAAAAAAAAAAAAAAAAAAACTTTTTTCAGATTTTGTTTAGCACGGCTCTATCCTTCCTGCAATTCATCCAGCCTTTCATCCAACAAGACCTACCTGCGCCTGTGGCGTACTAAAGTGCACGGATATGCGGGAAGGAGGATGGCACTTGTCGATCCCAAGACTCAATCGTCTTTACGCCGAGCCTCCGGGATTGGGATCATGCTCTAATGATGTTTTGGGTTATTAGAGCTGACGGCATTCAAGTTAGATTTATCACTATGTTTTTCTCGCAATTGGTGTACGTAACAGCAACACACAACAAACATTGTTCTTCATAATGCGACGGCGCCGTTTCCACGCGATTGGCAATAAACGAAGTTGACAAACTATAATTGCTATACACACGGTTCCGTTTGAATTAGGGCTGGGAAATCGATCGATTAACCTACCGATGAATCGATTAATGCTTGAATCGCTTATAACTTTTTTAAACCGGCTAGTTCGTTAAATTTTGACGAACCAAAGTGAATTAAATGTTTTCACAACGCCGACATGGACGAGCACGCCCAGATGAAGTGCAACATTTTGGTGATATTGTCACGAATGACCGATGATAAGGCAGCGAATAACTGAAGGCACTAAACGTTTAATAGGGCAAACTTGCGCCCCCAAAAAAAATAGAACAAAGGCTAGCGCCGCAGGCGTCGACGTCGGCAAAACAGCAGGATCGAGCGCTGGGGCAAGGCTGACTCCGGCTTGCACGCAGAGCCATTTTTTGTGCACGCGTAGGCTTCTGGAATATTCGGCGTAGAACGTTCGGCGCGTAGAACATTCGGAACTCGATCAGGCGATAATGTTCTCAAACGTACGGTAAAGCCAAGTTGAAATAATAAATAAAAGAACATTCCACTGACTGGAATCGAACCTAGACTTTCCGCGCGACAGTGAAGCGCTGTAACCATTCCGGAAAAAACGACGACGACGATTGGAATAGCCAGCACCATTTTCCGCCGCTCTTCCTGTAAGCTTGAAATTTTATGCCATTCTGCTCAATTTGGCCATCTTAACATTTGTTTTAGTAACTGGTCCCTACGGGGCTATTACCGGGCACAACCCTGCCGCCTAAGAAGCGACCACTTGCGACAGAGGTGCCCCGCTTCAATGACCCGATCCACCAGACCTTGACCTCGGACGCTCAAATGGATACCGTCGCGACTACGAGCCACATTTCTGCAGCGGAAACACGTCAATCATTGCAAAAACCTCAACTGACGGCTAAGGACATCAATGACGACGTTCCATCGAAGAAACAATGCGTGAATCTTCCCCCGGAACAAATGGACGAGGAGAGGACATCCAACTACTCGTTTCATGACGGCACTCCTGGAGACGAAGACGACTTCATTCAAGTCACAGTGCGGAAAAATCGCCCGGCCGGAATCCCGCTGATCATCAAGCCAAAAGAGCAGGGAACCTCGTTCTGGAGGATCAACCCCAACAGAATAGCCAAAGAAATTGTGACAGTATCACAAGAGAAATTACTAGCACCACGCATAAGGAAAGATGGCACAATCACGGTCAACACATCGACGCTGAACTCAACGAACAGGCTTCTTATGATGAAATCTCTTGTCGAAATCGACGTGACAGTGACCGTGTCCGAGTCATACACACGCAATGTTGGCAAGGTCAACAACATTCCTGTTCAATACTCAGACTACGAACTGCTAGACTACCTGAAGAACGCTGGTGTCATCGCAGTCCAACGACAAATTGCATATTCAAGAAAAGAAGACGGCAGCATGGAGCAACAACCAACAGAAAGTGTCCTGCTTCACTTTCTACAGAATCACCCGATGCCTGCACGGGTCCTGTTGGGCTTCACCAGTCATCCTGTGATGGAGTACTTTGGAACCCCGGTACACTGCTTTCGATGCCAACGACATGGGCACCTCGCAAGACATTGTCGCGGCCAACAAAGATGCAAGGTTTGCGCTGGATCACACAGCTACAAGGACTGCATGGACAAAACCAATCCAAAGTGTGCAAATTGTGGAGGCAATCACTGTGCGTCGTTCTCAGGCTGTCCTCACAAAAAGGCAGCAGCTGCAGCCAGAAAACATGAAATCCTGAATGGACCAATACTAAATAACCGTCATCCTTCCCCGAATCTTGAGGTCACGCGCGCCCCGTTGCCTCCTCTACCACCTTCCCGCCCACCACCACTTCCCCCTCGTCCCTCTACACTATCACAGCAGACACAAGTATCGCAACAAAGGTCGCAGTATTCTGACGTGTTAAAACGCCAGCAAAACGCCCAAATCAACTTAAAGACTCCATCTCACCTAAACTCGACGTTACCTGGTCAAACGCCTCCAGGAGACCGAACATCAAACCCCTCTCCTGTACCAGCACCCTGCACACAGAAGCGTGATATGCGCAGACGCGATCATCGGGAGGATCACTTTGAGACACGGCAATCGAGAGACGTCTCGCATTTGCTGGTACCCATGTTTTTTACGGCTCTAAGGGCCATACTCAGCGCCGTGCCCGCAGCTAACAATCTTCTTGAGGTAACAGCACTATTCGCTATGGAAAGACTACTTAAGTCTTCACGAACATTGATGAATGAAGAGTATCCCAATGCCTGATTTGTACAGCCATATAGGAATATTTCAGTGGAATGCCAACGGGTTACGGCAAAAGTCTGGTGATTTTCGTCAATTTCTTAAAAAGAACACTATACCAATACTTGCATTAACCGAAGCTCGCGTGGACGACGACTTTCGCCTCTCAAACTATGTGCTGTACAAATCATCTCGTCAAAATGGTCAAAGTCGAGCGATGCTAGCTGTACAGAAAGATCTGGTATTTGTGCAGCTATTCTCTTCGACAAAAGATATCCCAGAATTCGTCGCCTGCAAGGTACGGTGTGGTAAGTCTTCAGTTACAGTCGTGAGCGTATACATCGAACCTCAAACTCCAATAACTTCATTTGGGTTTTCTGAAATATTTCGTCACGTATCTGCTCCTTTTATTATATGTGGAGACTTCAATGGACACCACACAACGTGGGGGAGTGACCATTGCGATCGACGTGGAAATGTCATTGCCGAGTATGTGGACAAGTACAACATATGCGTACTCAACGACGGATCTCCGACCTTTGTTCGTGGCCCTACCTACTGCAGCTGTTTAGACCTGACTCTATGCTCTCCAGACATCTCGCCTCAAATGACATGGATGACAGACAGGGAAACCCGAGGTAGCGACCACTTTCCCATTTTCGTACAACACCCTTTTCTTAATATTCGTGTGCAGCAACAGAGAGCACGGATAACAAACTGGCAGATGTTCAGACATTTAAATACTTTAAGACATACCGATTTGAAAGAGCCCGATGATTTTGCAAACTCGATTTTGCTTAGTTACGAACGAGCAACGCGTCTTGTACCTGTACCTAACGGACACGTTGGTGTCAATGGTGAATACGAAAAGCTACGCGCAGAAAGACGAAAAGCAGAACGACGCTATAGAAGATCAGGAAATGTTGAAGACTATAACCAGGCCCAACATATTCACAAGCTTATGCGTCGAGAGCTGCAAATTCTTTCAGTCCGTCGATGGAGGAAGTTCAGCGGTAATCTGACCCCCTTCACACCGATTCCAATAGTATGCAAAATACTTCGTTCTCTTCGCACGCCGGTTATGCAAAAACAACCTTTCCGCGCGCTAGCTCTTCTGAGGGGCGTACCGGAAGTGACAATCGCGGTTGAATTCTGCGCTCTGTTAGCACAACAAAGCAATGTGGTAACAACTTCCCAATACAAATCTTCCAAGACACAGGCTACTCGTACCTTCGAGAACGAGAGGCATCTAGTGCATGCAGAGCTAGATCATGAAATCAACATACGTGAAATTTTGTGCGCGCTTCACAACACCCGCAAGTCTACAGCTCCTGGTCTTGATAAGATCACTTACGAAGCGCTAGCAAATCTCGGCCCCGATGCCACCTGCACTCTTCTCGAGATATACAATGAAGTTTGGAGAACAGAGACAATACCTGAATCGTGGAAGTTAGCTAAAATAGTTCCGCTCTTAAAACCTGGAAAATCACCATTGAGCCTGGATTCCTTCCGCCCTGTAAGTTTAACCAGTTGCGTCGGAAAGCTACTTGAGAAGATCTTACATAACCGCTTATAGTGGTGGTTGGAAACTGGTAGAGCGTTTCCCGAAGAAATTACAGGATTTCGTCCACGTAGATGCACAATGGATGGTATCTTGGACCTCACCACCTGTGTAGAGTACGAACGAGATAACGGAAACATTACGGTGGCAGTGTTCCTAGATATTCGCCGAGCATTCGATACGGTTAGTCACGCTCATGTTCTTGAAGGGCTTGTGCTTCTTGGTGTACATGGACGCATGCTTCGCTGGATACAAGAGTTTCTTCAATGCAGGAACATCGTAGTGTGTACAAATGATGGAGACAGCAAGCATCATGAACTGCACCATGGAGTACCCCAAGGTAGCGTGTTGAGCCCTACTCTTTTCAATGTCGTGATGGCCCAGTTACCGCAGAAACTCCAGCCACCTTTACGAATATCTATATATGCTGACGATATTTGTATCTGGATCTCTGGCTCATCCCCAGATATTTTAAAAAATCAGTTACAGATAGCCTTAGACACGACAAACAAGTTTTTAGGAGAACGAGGAATGGAGCTATCTGCCACGAAATCGGCATTTATACCATTTACCAGAAAAAAGCTTCCTGGTTTTGAACTTAATGTAAATGGAGACTCAATTCAGCGAGTTCAATCATACAGATTCCTTGGAGTCCTACTGGATCAATCCCTCACTTGGTCCAAACATATAGATATGCTGGAAGGGAGAATTAATAGTGTAATTAATGTTTTTCGATGCATCGCGGGTGCAAAATGGGGAGCCTCAATAGATTCAATGCTTTCATTTCATACGGCGCTAGTGCGACAATCGATTGCCTATTCTATACCTGTGTTACAGGGGCTCTCCAACACATCAGAAGCTCGCCTTACTTATATACTTGCAAGAAGTCTAAGAGTATGCTTAGGTCTTCCGCGAGCAACATCCAGTGCGCTTGTACTCGCTGCAGCCAAAGAACCACCAGTAACTATCCTAAGAATCCAGGAAGTATGTCGGAATTTTTTTAGACTTTCTGCACGGCCCCTTTTAGAGCGCAGCTCTTAGGGGCCCGTTTCCGGCTTGAGCGGCGTCGCCGTCGGCGTCGCCGTCGCCGTCGCCGTCGGCGTCGGCGTAACCGCGCGGTGCATCATGGGAAATGTCCCATAATGCACCGCGCGAGCCCCCCACCAAGGTCACGTGACCTCGTGGGGGGTCACGTGACCCCCCGAAGTCACGTGGCCCCCTCCTCGAGGTCACGTGACCCCCGCCGATGTCGCGTGACCCCCCGATGACGTCATCGTCACTGATGACGTCACCGGCATCCACATCGTCATCGTCATCATCACTGATGACGTCACCGGCATCCACATCGTCATCGTCATCATCACTGATGACGTCACCGGCATCCACATCGTCATCGTCATCACTGATGACGTCACCGGCATCCGCATCGTCATCGTCATCATCACTGATGACGTCACCGGCATCCACATCGTCATCGTCATCATCACTGATGACGTCACCGGCATCCACATCGTCATCGTCATCATCACTGATGACGTCACCGGCATCCGCATCGTCATCGTCATCGTCACCGATGACGTCACCGGCATCCACATCGTCATCGTCATCATCACTGATGACGTCACCGGCATCCACATCGTCATCGTCATCATCACTGATGACGTCACCGGCATCCACATCGTCATCGTCATCATCACTGATGACGTCACCGACATCCGCATTGTCATCGTCATCATCACTGATGACGTCATCAGTGACGTCACTGATGTCGTCACCGGCATCCGCATCGTCATCGTCATCATCACTGATGACGTCATCAGCGACGTCACTGATGACGTCACCGACATTCGCATCGTCATCGTCATCATCACTGGTGAAGTCATCAGTGACGTCACTAATGACGTCATCAGTACCCGCATCGTCATCGTCACTGATGACGTCATCAGTGACGTCAGTGATGACATCATCGGCATTGGGGGTCACGTGACCCCCAAGGTAACGTGACCCCCCCCCCCTGGTTAGTTTAACCCCCCCCCCCAGTGCCCTTCCCTCCTCCTCCTCAAGAGCTGCGCTCTAATTCGGCGTTACAGGGAGTTGTAAGCGGCTTTCATTTTTTAATGATATTCTTTCTCGCAAAGGGACAAACTTTCTTCGAACATTAAATTCTGTGCCAATGATACTCCCTGAACAAACACACTGGGTTCAAGACATTCATAAGCCACCATGGACGCTACCATTACTGGACATCAATATGAACATTCCAGGCATGGAAACAAAAGCATCGACCAATACACACGTTGCTAGGACACTGACCCTTGCCCATCTACTGCAAAAATACGACGATAACATCCACGTGTATACCGACGGATCAACCAAGGATGAAGGATCAACATCAGCATTTGTGGTGCCCCAGTTCAACCATTCGTCATCCTTTCGGTTGTCACATCATACTTCTTCAACTACCGCAGAATTGCATGCTTTACTCGCGGCTGCAATGTACATCAAAAATAGCTTGACAGCGAATTCCTGGCTGCAATCCATTAAGACCCTGAATACTCGCAACGAAAATATGTCTCTTGTGTACCGAATCTGTGAAGAACTTGGGGAAGCTATAAGATTTGGACATACGATACACCTTCAATGGGTTCCTGGACATAGCGGTGTTTCAGGAAACACCCAAGCTGACCAACTGGCCACGAATGCATATACAAGCAACAACGTCCAGCTCACACCTTTTACAAAAAGCGATGCCAAGCGGTACATTCGTTGTCTGAGAAACAGAATGTCTCCTGACACCTGGCTCAAGAGCATCTCGGAACAGAGCCTACTCCTTTTAATTGACCCAGACCTTCGGTGTCCAGTTCATAATTACTTGAGCAGACCAATTGAGACATTAATTCATCGCCTACGACTAAATGTCGCGTACACCGGCAGATTTCTTTGCCGAATTCAACAGGTAGAAACACCGAGCTGCACCTGTGGCCATCCCGTGGAAGACGTCGAGCACATAATAATGGACTGTCCAAGATACGACCAGTGGCGAACTCGATTACGAGTGGGACTAAGCATACTCGACAGTCGCTCTTTTTCTCTGGCCAAAGTTTTAGGTCCTTGGCCAGACTTAAAAAGCCAGAAGAGGGCATCAACTTTACTACGTGATTTTTTTACTGACACAAAGATAATTGACAGATATTAGGTATTATCCGAAGGTCAAAATACGCACGACGCGCCCTTAAAAGATAACTTTTTTTTATTGCAATTTTATTACTACGTTACAGTAATTTATTGTACATATGTACATATGTATTTATTGTGTAATCACTTCTCTCACCGTGTAATTTTGTTTTGTGCGTGTTCGGTAACTGAGAGTATTATTCATGGTGCTCGGATTTTATAATTGGATGTTAAACATCATTCACTCTGTACATTACTTGATTTGAAGTAGCCGGTCCCAGGATAATGGGACCAAACTCTTCAACTCATCAAATAAACATTGAATTGAATTGAATTGTAACCATTCCGGAAAGCACGCGTTCATTCGGTGACGCGCGTGGCACTATTTTGACTTAAAGTAAACTGTAAGCGCGAGATTTGTAACTCCAGACAAGCGCAGAAGGTTACACGTCTCCCAGCGACGTCAACGCCATGCGAGGGTTCATTTAGCTTAGCACAGACTACAGTGAGCAATCAAAAGAGGCCGCTCTTGCCGGAGAATATTAACGAACCTTTTTTGCCTAATGGAGGCTGAATTAGTACTCTGTGAGTGTCAGGTGTTTTTGAGCTGTTCGTACCTACGTATCACAATAGACCGATCCTACAGCTAGTTTGAGTACGCCACCGCTGCCGGCATGCATCGTGGGAGCTGTAGTCTTTCTGCACGCGCGACAACCCTGCTGGAGGTCTGCGCGAGCAGAGCACGAGGCGGCATGAGCTCTCTGGTGAACTGGCGTCTGCCTCCTACGAACTACAGCTATGGCGGCGTCACGCATGCGTAGAACAATTGGTGAGATCGGTCTCTTAATTCATAGCTCAAATTATTGCACCATTTAACACATCTTCAACAAAAGGAATAAAATAGACGTAATTTCTACTTTTAAACAATATCATTATGCATGGAAACGCACGAGACCAATTAATCGACTAATTCGATTAATACGTGGCAATTAATCGGGTGAAAATTTTTAATCGACGCCCAGCCCTAGTTTGAATGCGTTTGACTGCAAACTGTCGACTTACTGTAGCGAGTCATCAGGTCACGCGTACTTCGTTGCAAGCGTGGCTGGCGTGGCAAGAAATTCCAAAAAGTTTGTTAAGCGGCATGCGAAGCACGCGGATGTTCTGGTTACCCGAAGTGGGAATGCGGTACAGCGCTGTTGAATCGCAAAGCGCCGCTAAGACTCGCCGCCCTAGCTGGCGCTCAATGCCATTAAATTCTACCAAAACCTACAGTTCCTCGTTCATATCGTTCTTTTTTTAGGAAAGGTTCTATGGCGGAACAGCCGAACGTCAGCTTCGGTTTCGGCAACTTCACATAATAGGTTTCATAGAACTGTATAAACAGACTAAGCACATTTCCACGTTCTAAATTTGGAAAGCACCCTTTCCTAAGGAAAAGTTTAAAATCGTCTTTATTGTTCCTTTAAACATACCAGCCGAGAAGCGCAACGAGAATGTGAATACCAGTTAGGTACCATAACCGCAGAAAAACATATATCACCGCCTGCGATATATGTGCTCTGGCGGAACAGACTGACAGTCCTGCTTTTTCCGTGCACTGCATGTGGGCCACAAGGTAAGCTTCTTTGTAAAAGTTTGTGTCGTCGTTAAATTAAAGTCACGTGTCAACATAAAGTGCACGTACTCCTGAATTAATAGACCTAACAAGCACATCAAAAGTGACACTCCATGGCTGTTCTTGGTTGATAACTTCTTATGATAATTAAATAAATACGTGTCATGCGATTATAAAGGCGACTTTTCTGCCAGACTCAGCATCCCATTCAATCAACGGGAAACTCATAGACACATGTACGCTTCAACTTTATGTAGCAGACCGACGATGTTCCATCTAAACGACTAATTTTGGGACTAGAGTTTCTGCATAGGCTCCCGTAGGGAGCCAGAGTTGCGCGTTCATCTCCGTAGCGCCGTCTTTCCTGCACCGCATAGTGATCCCGCTCGTCACGTGACTGAATTCGGCGAATAGCGGCGCCGCGCGTTCGAGGTGCGCGGCGCGCTCAAAAGCAGGGGAACGTACGCCGGGGCACGTGCAACGTCTACTTTCCTACACGGCACTTGACTCGGCTCCTCACGTGATCGGATCTCAACGAATAGCAGCGCGGCGGCACGTGGAAAACAGACGCGCAACTCTGGCTCCCGTAAGAAGCCTATTGACGACGTGCGCGATCAAAAGCGTCGCGGTGGTCGGCCTTCCACTTGTGGCGGAATGCTGACTATGACGTCAGCAAAGGAGTTCTCATGGACGGAAATAAGAGGAACGTGAGGACTTCAATTTTGACGGTGTTGACACTGTTGGTTCAAGAGCGCTATTATTTCAAGCTTCCGTCATGCTCATTACAAACACCATCCAGCTTGTAGTTCGCAAAGTAATGACGTCACGAAAGGTAACCATACGAGGGCGCCACTGGAACATCTCGCCACGAATACATCAGGGTCGCTACACTCGTCAACAAAAACATTCTTTGTGTAATGACATAGTGAGGGGAGGAGCCGAAAGATTGCTGCGAAGTTTTCTTTTCTCACAAACCCGCAGATCCGTCTGTCTTCGTGACGTTTTTCGTTGAGGGGACGAAAAATCCCTACGCCTCCCTAGGCACCGAACAAGAGCAGCACTAGAGAGCGCGCGGAGACGACCGTGGCTCATACGTGTGACGTCACAACAAAGATTATCAGCTGCGACCGTCATGTTTGATGGTCTCTAAAAAGCACAATGGATGCTTGGGAATTGCATTTTAAAATCAACACCGTCGAAGCTGATAGTCAGGTATTGTTCTTATTTCCGCCGATAAAGCAGAATTTACTAAAAAGCGTCCCTGCCGTTCTTTTGATTTATCTCGGCCTTTCGAATCTGGCCAAAGTGTAGCCCGACGTGGCTAGGTCACAACCAGCCAACTACCGTTGTCCACTTTCGGGCGAATTTCGCCTCCGGGCAGTTGTCCCTTCATCGGCGGGATAAAATCATTTTATGGTAGACATTCGAAGAACAGTCAGTTTGGGATTAAGTATGTTTATCACACGGTGGTTTATCAACGGAAATAAGGAAATAAAAGTAATGTCAGGTTGTCAATATTGGCGGTGATGCCTCAAGAACGCAAGGACACTAAACTTGACATCGTCGATTTGAACACGCACCATCAAATTTGTCGTTCACAACTGATAATCTTGACTCCATCGTCAAAGATATCAACTATAAAATGACGTCACTGAACGCGCCCGCACACTATATACGTGCCCTCGCACGAGTCTTTCGCTTGAAAGTCTGTCATGGCCACTCTTGAGTTCATGGAACGCGAGCCGTTTTAATTCCAGAATCTTTTGAACCTTTATTTCGAGAATTGCAGGCTGTGCTGTTCCTCGTCATTGCTCATTGGAACACCTCTAAGCAGGGACGTCGAAACAGGAGGATGGGGAGGGGGGGCGGGGGATTTAGCCTCCCCCCTCCCCCAGTTGCGTCGAAAGAGGGGGCAAGGGGCATAACATAAGGGTGGGAGGGTATCGCCCCAGCCCCGAACCACCATAGCATTTCAGAGAGTTATAATAAAATATTCGGGGAAAGGAATATCCCCCTTCTTCACCACCATCACCTCCTCTCTCTCTCTCTTCCGAACAATTTACGGCCCTTCTTGAGACTCCTATTGGTTTGTGCGTGTGTATGTGTGTGTGTGTGTGTGTGTGTATGTGTGTGTTGGTCGTACCTTAATTCTTTCTTTAGAGCGCAGCTCTTCGCCACCCGTTTCCGGGTTTCGCGGCGTGGGTATCGTCGTCGGCGTAAACAGCCCGCTAAATTTAGCGCGAAATTGGCGTCACATCACCTCAACACCAATTCAATTCCCAGCTACGTGACTTCAACGCCAATTCACTTCTCCGCTAGATTGTCATGTGATGTCCTTTTCCCTGCTAAATTTAGCGGAGAAGCTGAATGGGAGGAGAAGGGGAGGAGAAAAAGAGGGGAGGAGGAGGGGCCTACCCTCCTTTCGGTACCCTCCCTTATTCCTCCTCAAGAGTTGAGCTCTAATTTCGCATTACAAGGATTTGTAAACGTCTTTAATTTTCTTTATTTCCCTTTCTTCGGCTTTTTTCTTTTTTTTGTTATCCCCCGTTTTTCCTCATCTCTCAGACATTACCGACGTCTCTACACAAACCGCCTGTGGGTGACCCCGGTGGCTTTGTTGACAGTGGCGGAAGATGAGCTCTATAAAGCCGCCCGCGTACACCGCGCGCGGCTCCACAACATCACAAAGTTCAATCTTCGCCTCGATTCCGAAGCGAAGATTTTGGCCTCAAAGAACTCCTTCCCAAAGTTGTAAAACGTCACTTTGACGTCACCAATAACTTCCACAAACGACGATCTTGCGACGAGAAAGTTCAGAGTATTTACCGGCCGCCTAGGTACAATCTACGCATCATTGACTCTAACGCGGCGTATGGATGTAGGGACACTCGGGCAAGACGTCATCAGTGCAGCCGTTCAATCGGCTGGCACCACGGTGCTGCTCGCACGCGCTTCGATGGAGCTCGCTACGACTTTGTGTTTTACGTTCTCGCTGGAATTCGAGCACCGAGAGAGCTTGGATGATTGACACCTCGCTCGGATTGACGTCAGCGTCGCGAGAGTCCAATTAGCGCGTTCCGCAACTTTTGGACACAAAGTTGTGCTCGACGAGTTTAGCTACCCTGTGGTCTCAAACTCATTTCAGTGTTGGGGTCAAATATCGAACACCTGAAATGAGGAGGGCCAACGTAAGGCGCAGGGGGGGGGGGGGGGTTCACCTCGTGCTTTATGCTTTTTGTAACTAAAAGTCTTGCCAGTGACATCTTTAGATTTGATTTGCTTATAAGACTACTTTGGTCCTTGACCTGATGTGATAAGAATAAAAATGACACCGCTCTGCCAGCGTGCTGGCATTTTTCGTAGAAGTACACTGTCCTTCCCTTTTCTCAATTCACCCAGGAATC